CTGCTGCTAAATCTCATTTTTAGGTTCTACATAAATAAATAAATAAATAAAAACTATGCAAGATGGACAAACCTTACTGTACCTTACATGATGATGTGCAAGTTTCTATAAAGATGAAAACTGACGGTGCCAGAAGAAATAAATGTTTCTGAAGGAAAATGATCCTGTTTTAGTTTTATTACATCATTCTACATTCCCATTTAATCCAAATTAATTTCATAGAGTGTACAGGTGCTGAACCTTTTACTGAAGTCACAGCACCACTGGTATGTACATGTCAACTGCTGTTAATGAATAACTATGACATGTGTAACATTATTGCTGTAAAGGATGCTTGACTCAGGGCTACCTTATTCAACACAGAAATCTATCATCTCAGTTAATTTTACATGCATAGCACTAGAATCACAATATGCAACTATCATGGATGCCTTTAACCTGTGAAATTAACAAGAACAAGCGATTTGGAATGTGAAGAGAAGCCATGTGAAGTCATGAGTGATTGTATATACTCTGTAGGGTTAGTAAAAAAATAGAAGATTAGGGATTGTGGGTAGGTGGAGGGGGGGCTGTGTGAACAGGCAGTGTTCTTTAATAAAATGGCCCAACAGAATAGGAGGTAGACCATCAGTCCTCATCTCCGTCTGTAAATGTCAAGAGGATGCAGACAACATGATTTGTTGTCATCATATCCATGAGAAGGTTTGGGTGATAATGATGGAAGTGTGTGACTTTCATGTGGGGGTGTGTGTTTGCTTGTGTCTTTTCTTTGTTTTGGTCTGTATCTGTCCATAGATGTGTGTGCAAATGTTGATGCTTGTGTTCTACATGTTAATACTACTTGTAGCCTGTGTGTGTGTGTGTGTGTGTGTGTGTGTGTTTATTTCCACTGTGATGTTCCCTCCTCCCTGCCTATCCATCTGTGTATGCTTTATCATATTATCCCAGATATAGATTTAATGTCAGCCTAACAAACTGACCTGACCCTGCTGCCCTTCATCTCTTTAAGCCCTTTAAAGGTGATGCATTCAGACTCAAAGACGGGTGGCCGGTGCTGAAATACCAGCATGCACTGGCAGAAACCCACAGATGACAGCCTCTCTGACTAATCATTTGGCGTCCTCCAAGCTGATGATGTCCTCCCACCACATGTTGCAGCTGTGTAAATAGATGTCCTTAATAGGTGAACACACACACACACATTTTGGGATGTTAGGAGAAAACACTACAGAAAATGGATACAAACACCAATTAACACACATGTACACAGCCAGACAAACCAACATGAACATATCTATCACCCACATTAACACATGCATACAAAC